CACGTCTGATGAGTTTCCCTCGCTCTCTCACTCTTCCTGCCTCTACCTAACATACCCTGTCAAATTTGTCTCTATGGGATGCCGTTGCTAAGGCAACTGAAGTCATTAAGCAAGACTTATAGGCTTTCTCAGTGCAGCAATAATGATGGCAAAGATGCGCACACACACACAGTCAAGGCACTAAATCAGGCGTTTGGAAAAAACACTGATGTAAATAAACATAAACCACTTGCGCAGTGCGAAGTGTACCCTCCACACTGCAGGAGGCCTCTACAAACATGCTACAACATGAAAGAAAAGAGATAAAACAGTCCACCCTTCACCTGCCGAACAATGGGGAGGAAAAGAAGAAAGTCTAACTAATACAGACTGACATTTCAGGCACACGCAACCTTTAGTTAAAGTCTGCTCCAGTTTCTAGAGCAACCCTTACCCTGCCCTGACCAGCAGGAAAAAAATGCTATCGCCCATCTTGAAAATACAAAGATCATGTCTCAAGATTAATAGAGGTTAAGGTTCAATCCAAGGCGGAGAGAGAGAGTTTCCATCCTCTAAACTCTAATCAAAAGCAAGACGAAATCCTGAGGGGAAGGTGATGGAAAGAGGGAGGGCGGATGGGAATAGAGTTTGGGAACAATGTAAGGAGGCACAATTTGGAACCTCAAACTGAGTTGACCTAGTTTAGTGCAGCGCTTAGAACCTTTGTGAAGACGTTTAGCATTTCTAACACTTTGTTTAACTGGGTCAAGTTGATTTCCAAATAAAACTTGGAAAAAGAGCCATTATCAGAATAATTATTTGGGGAGAGGATCTTGTGGGAAACAGCTCTGTGTTTCTGTATTAAAATTAGAAGGCCTTCCGTGCAAATGCAACAACAAACTGCCTGTCACTCGAATATAAAGCTCATATTTTTGTGCTAATAATCACCAGAGGTAATACTCAGAGGTGGTAAAGTAGAAACAATAATCATGCAGTTATAATAAAGGTTTGTTTCCAGAAGAAAATGGTTATTTAAACTTCTTATCCTGCAATTCTGTCTATTTACATCTCAAAAATGTGGACAAACTGCTTGTGTATCTTGAAATGTCAGGTAATAAATTTTCAAACTTGTAATTACAAGTTTATGTTAAAAAAAGCAAAAATTATGAAATGTAAACTTCAATACGAGACATATGCTTGCAATGCAAATTACGGTTACACAATCATAAAAACTAATGTTTTTTTCGGTAACACTTTATTTTGATGGTCCATTTGAGTATTAGTAGACTGTCTGAATTATGTGTTGGTACTACATCTTTAACAGACATAGATAGATAATTATAAACCAAATAATGATAATGATGAATATATAAACCAAATACCTTCCTTTCTATATTTTTTATTTGATAATCCTTTGTTACTATGTATAAAAAATCTCTTGCCATTACTTTATTTAAACTACATTGGGTATTATAAACTAAAAGAAACAATACTAAAAATATTCCTTTAATATAGCTTAAACTCTACAGACATCCCTGTCAGCTACTGGTAATAGCTGTAATTGTACAATAGCTACAATAATGTCCAACATCCAATTGTACAGTGCTACCAGTATTCTAAAGGTGAAACATTTCCTCTAACTAACTAACAACAACAAAATCGACACTTCTTTGCTGCCTCATTCTGCATGCCTTTGAAAGTTCGATAATCAATGCAGCATGTTTGTAGGTTCACAGACTCTGAGTTAAAGCATGCGTCCTGCAGTGAGATGATAGGAATCACTGGGGTGTGGATGCGCATCACAGTACTCATGAGCGCCTTCAGAAGCTCCTTCATTAGCAATGCAATTATTCCAGAGGGGTAAATGTACAGGGTGAAGGTCAATAGAGGTTTATCAGGAGTTAAAGAGATGTAATTGCTGTCTCCCGGTATTGAACTGATAAGCACAATCACACACTGAGTTCTGTGGACCACTTAATTATGCAGAAGAAATGCCATCACAGTCCATTTCAACACACTCTGTTGTTCCAATGGAAACACTAAACAGATGTTTTGACATTTCCAATGTAAAATAGCATTTACTTTCTACCATGCGAATAAAGCTCATGCTATGGAATCGTACATCAATGAGCATTTTCTATGCTCATTTTCTGCTCCAGAAGTCCATGTTTTCCAATACTGCTACTGCTCCATCAACTCTGAACTCCATTTGTAACCAAAACAACCGACAGGATCAATAATGCGCCAAACATGATGAAAAATAAATAGGTTTCATCACTTTTAAGACATGGAAAGACTTTGAGTCAAACAGCATAAGGACTGGAGTGAGAGCCGGTCTCTGAGGGTCAGCTGTGTTTGTGGCTTGACTGCTTTGAGAACGATAAGGGAGAGGGAAAGGAATAAGACGTGTTGTCAAATGTACTTTCAGTAGTGTTAACGTTGTATTGATTGTGGGTCGTATTCATGAGGGTTAAATCACCTCATCTGTCCCTCCAGAGCCCTGTCACTGGATGAACTGTCTCCATGCACAAATTCAAATCCGCACTGTCAGAGAACTGTCAGCTTTAATAACAATAAATAAACCAATAGACCAAGAGTAGAACATGGTGTAATTTGGTGTCACAGTTTAGTGAGACATGGGACAAAACATATTTACCTACACATTTACCGAAAACCCAACAGTCAACTTTATCAAATGAAATGAAAGTTAATTCTACTCATTTGAAAAGAGTTGTGAACTCAATGTTGAAGGTATAATGAATTAATTAAATACATCATTACTTCAATTTTAATGGAGCAAGTTCACAGCACTTATTAGGATTAGTTTTTGAACCTAAATGGTTTGTTGCAATTGGTTTCCTCAAATAGTTTGAATTACCTTAACTTATTGGGTTTTACATTTTAAATGTTTTACAGACAAAAATAGGTTTTCATGCATCAAAACTATATTTTTTCTTAGGAATACAAATACTGAAAATACTGAAAATGCTTATTAAAAAACAATAGTTTACGTTCCAAGAAATCTTGCTTGGTATATTTAGAACAAGAATTAGTTGATGACATATTTAAATAGTTTTGCTGCCGAGTGTGATGCGGCTGAGATGAAAATCAGCACCTCCAAGTCCAAGGCCATAGTGATCCACTGGAAAAAGGTGGTTTGCCATCTCCAGGATGGAAGAAAGTCCTTACCCCATATGGAGAAGTTCAAGTATCTTGGGGTATTGTTCACGAGTGAGGGAAAGATAGAACGTGAGATTGACAGGCGGATTGGTGCAGTAGCAGCAGTGATACTGTCGATTTACCGGTCCGTTGTGGTAAAGAAGGAGCTGAGCTGTAAGGCAAAGCTTTCGATTTACCGGTCAATCTATATTCCTACTCTCACCTATGGTCATGAGCTTTCAGTCATGACCAAAAGGACAAGATCTCGGATACAAGTGGCCGAAATGAGTTTTCTTAGCAGGGTGGCAGGCGCACCCTTATGGATAGGGTGAGAAGCTCTGTCACCCGAGAGAAGCTTGGAGTAGAGCTGCTGCTCCTTCACATCGAGTGAAGTCAGATGAGGTGGCTCGGGCATCTGTTTCGGATGCCTACTAAGAGAGGTGTTCCAGACATGTCCCGCCGGGAGGAGGCCTTGGGGAAGACCCAGGACACGCTGGAGGGACTATGTCTCTCGGCTGGCCTCGGAATGCCCCAGAATCCCCCCAGAGGCGGTTGAGAAAGTATCTGAGAAGAGGGAAGTCTGGGGTTCTCACACTGCTGCCCCCGTGACTCGGCCCCGAAAAGCAATAGAAAATGAATGAATGAATAATCTTTATACTTTGCCACAAACTGTCAACCCTCTCATTTTGACCCACTTGTCAGCAAGAACATTTTAAACATTTTAAATGAATACAATTTACGCACCTATACACTATCCAAAGTAACTTACATTGCATGGGTCCATTTATTAGTCCAATGTCGGAACTAACAGCATGGGTGAAGGTTAAATGCGTGTAAACCTTTTTAGCACATGTGAAAAGAAATATATATATATATATTTTTTTTTTAACACAATGGGTAGCACGTTTGCCTCACAGCAAGAAGGTCACTGGTTTGTGTTACGGTACGGGATCAAAGACGGGAACAAAAACAGGTGTAGAATCCAAGTGCAGATTTTAATGATTATTGTGCAGTGAAAGCGACAAAAATACAAAAATCAAAGTCACAAAGTAACAAACAAAAAAAATAAACGAGAAACTCAAACAGATTAACTCGAACTAGACTTCAACAACTGAGACAAGATACTAGAGCAAGATCAGGAACACATACCAACAACGACGACAACGACCAACTGACAGAGAATGAATGGTTTAATATATATAATCCAGGTAATCAATAGTGAACGGAGACAGCTGTGGTTGTAAACCAGTGTATATGACAGACCGGGTGTGTGCGCGAAGAATGTATGGATTTGTAGTTCTTAAGCCACTGTAGTTCGCTGGGGGTTGCTGGCGAACTACAGTGGCATCTGGTGGATAAACACAGTCATGACAGTTTGAGCCTCGGCTGGGTCAGTTGGCATTTCTGTGTGAAGTTTGCATGTTCTCCCCATGTTCGCGTGGGTTTCCTCCCGGTGCTCTGGTTTTCTGATTAATAAAGGGACTAAGCCAAAAAGAAAAATTAATGAATGAATTCTCGTGGTCATGTCTTGTGTGGAATTCCATAACAGTTCTCAGGATTTAATATTATTGAGAGATTTAGACATCCTTACAGACTGAAGGTACATATTTTATCAGTTCAGACAATATATAATTGTATGCCAGTGCTATTTCTCAGATATTGCATCTTTTCAGAATCAGTGATGTGCAGGAATGGACAAAAAGAGCCTGCAAAATCATTAACTATTTTAAGGATTAATAACAACCCTAATCAAAATAAACCATCGATCAATACAACACTCCAGCAAACAGATGTTGTGTTTTATTTTCAAAGCTGTCAATGTTAACCTAATTAACCTGATTCTCTTCTGTTTTTCTCCACAGAAGGGAAACACTCTGCGTCCCATTGATGCTGAAGTAAAGGTAGGACATATACCGGATCTTAAATCACACTATACATTACCATACATAAGTGTCTGGAGTCAGTAATAATATAATATAATATAATATAATATAATATAATATAATATAATATAATATAATATAATATAATATAATATAATATAACATAATATAATATAATATAATATAATATAATATAATATAATATAACAATATAATACAATATAATACAATACAATATAATACAATACAATATAATACAATACAATAAAAAATAATATATATTAGGTAATATATATCAGGCAAGATGAATTAAATTGAATCAAAAGTGACAGTAAAGATGATGATATTATTGAACATGATTATTGACATCTTTTCAGAGAAAACTTGCAACGATAGGTCAAATCAGGTCAATCAAGGCCCTTTTGACATTTCAATTGCAGCAGAACACTTAATTTGTAGTCTAGAAAATATGGTACACAAAATTATTTTAACTTGAACATCTTTGTTTTAACGAATTGGTAAACGAAAATTTCCTCTTTCAAAACTTGTATTAAAACATATATGTTTACATGTGGGTAAGAATTTGCCGAAGATATCACTGGAAAAATCAGCCAATCAGCTTTAACAAAGCTCAAGCAAACGGGCAGACAGAACTGAACATGTTAATTTGGTGCTGACAGCCTAGTGGTCATTGTGTCAACATACAGTATACAGTATAGCACAACAGGGCTACAGGCATCCTAAGCTGAATACTTTTTCCAATCCCATCACCCTACTCTCTCCAACTTCCCTTCCTGTCAATATATCTACCCTCACATCATAAAAAAGTGTGTTTAGATGTGATTTGCTATCAGTCTTGGTGTGAATAGAGCATATTTCCCTTTGTGTCTGTGTTTATGATTGGATGATGAAGAGCTCCTGCTTGTCTTGCACTTGCCATTTTTGCTGGTTTGCAATGTTACGTGTCACCAAGGAGGAGCAAAACTGCTTCCATTGAGTTTTGCTTATATGTGCATTTATCTTCCTCCACTCATTTTTCATATCCACATCTCCCTCCTTTACCACCTCATTCTTTCTTTAGTGCTGCTTCAGCATTTTAAGAAGTGTCAGATTAGACAACCAATAAGTGCATCAAATTTAAAAGGACTTTAACTTCATTCAACATTTGAGCAAGTATTGTACAGTGTCAAAATTATCTCCTTACCTCAGCCTGATTCACAATACTAACCTTGTAATAATGTTATCTAATTTCAGAGGTACTGGTAGGTTTTCACAGGAAACATGAGCTTGTGTCATTATATTACATCCTCATCAAGGACGCCTGGCTACTAGGCTGTTTTAACAAAATCTCACTGCAATTAATTACTTTTTTGATTTAGTGGCTAATTCATTTAATTTGTATGATCTTGTTTGTATATCTAATATGATTTGATTATCCCCCAATGATGATTGGGCTTAGGGGTGTGGTTTGGTGCATGCATCCTTTTTAAATAAATTTAAATGTATGAATTTTTATGAATTAGCCACTTGTTTAACGATACGCAATATAGCTTTGTTTGTCCAATGCGCCAATAACCTAGTGATAAAGTGGGTTGACATATAGTTAGTACAAATGGTGGGCTGAGTTTGATTCCCGGCTTAAAGTCCTTCCCCTCTCTCTGCTTCCTACACATTCCTGTCTACACTTTCCTTTCCAAATAAAGGCGAAAACCCCTAAATATACATACTAAAAAACAAGAAAGAGTTACTTTCCTTGCTATTTTCGATTTGTAAATGTTGCAGGCAGGAATACATTTATATATTTTTCTTTCAAAGCAGCTAATTAAACTAAATGTGCAGTGTGTAAGATTTACACGCAGTTATTGAACTAGGTTTTGCACTCCAAATTCAAAACATTTTCACCCAGCCCGTCCTCCGACAACTGCTAACCAACGCAGGTTGCCAGATTGACAACACTAACAGGAGTGAGCTAGCCTGACTATCAAGCCTAAAACATAACTACACGTGACGTGACAACATATTTCCATGTTAAAATAGATTTTTGTCCTAACCTTCAGCTGAACTTGTTATTGTAAAAATGGTCTCTGAAACGTCTGTGACAATGATCACCTCAGGTACTGATTATGTGCTTTATTGAATGTTGAATGCTATCAATGTAACATTTTACATGACATTTATTGTACTATTGAAAGCAGCAGCAGTTTACCTCAGATCTTTACAATACATATAAAGTCTGAAATTAAACGTTGAACTTCAAACTTTGTCACCCAGAATGTACTTTTAATAATGTTAATGTAAAATATGTATAAATGAGATTCTAAACCTTACTATTTTATTGGAATGACGTGAATTATTCTGTGCCTCTGAAAGGCTGTATTTAACTTATCAATTCTTTTATATATAAATAGCACATCTTGTATGTACTGCCTCTTCTTGTTTAATCACTGAATACCTCCTGTAAGTCACTTTGGACAAAAAAAAAAAAAAAAAAAAAATATATATATATATATATATATATATATATATATATATATATATATATATATATATATATATATATATAATGCTATATGAATAAATGTAAATGTAACACAAATAAGAACAAGGTAGCAGACATGTTTGCCTAGTTATTTAGAGGACATTTTCAGGAGAAAAAACGTAATTGGGTCATATTTCCAAGATGTAAAATCGATTAATCTGGAGAACAGTATTCGCACTGACAGGCATGCATAGTCCTCTAAACATTAGATTCTTCCATGTAAAGATATTAATGAAATTTCAAACAAAGATGCAACAAAAAAGACAAAACTGAAATCTTAAAGATTGAATTGAAGTGGCATTTACTCTATATGGTAACCATTTCTTGTGTTTCACTGAATGCAGCTGAAAGGGAGAAGAACATCTCACCTGTCCCAGGACAAGGATGGCCAGCCTCATGATCCTCTGCTGCTTCAGGTGGTGCGGAAGGGGCACAGGAGGAGGCTGGGTGCTGCCGCCGGCCAGGCTCGACTCATGGCCATCACAGACTGTGTGGACAACGGCACACAGACCGACATCAGCTTCCAGAACTTCCTGAATGGGGACAGAGGGTCTTATTTAAGCAGTGGATCACCAAAGCCTCCACACTCCCCACTTCTTGCCCTGCTGGTGGAGCCGTACCTGCTGAATGAGCTGTGAGAGTCTTCAACGTCCTCTTGATCTCTTTACTGCTTGTATAGAGCTGTGAATGTTACATGTGCTGAAAACCTGATGAAGAAGTGTGTCTCTTTTCACAGTGGTTCTCTGGGGCAGGAGTATAGCGATACAAACGACTACTTCAGTGTGACCAACCATGAGGCGGATCAACAAGAAGAGCTGGAATATGAGGTGAGAGCACCAACAAATCGTAACAACATTACATTAAACAAATAAAAATAAATAAGTCAAACTTAAATAACTTTGATTGTTTTACAATAAGAAAACCTTAAAGAAATATATTAAAAAGTGTAGACATTATGGTAAAACACAAAAATTATTTTTTTTGTGTTATAATTTAATTATGTGTTATAATTTTGTATTATAATTTGTATACATGGACCACAAAACCACAAATAAATTTTTTGGAAGTTGAGATAAATGTTATAAGTTGAACAAATAAGCTTTACATTTATCTTTGTTTGGATAGGATAGTATTTGGCCAAGACACAAAAATTAATACATATATAAGACACATAAAAAACAGGAATCTGATGATTCAAAAAAACTAAACGTTGAGAAAATCTTTTCAAATTGTCGAAATTAGGTTATTAGCAGTGCACAATACTGTTTAAATATGGATTTTGATATAGTTATGGTAGAAAATTGACAAAATATTTTCATGGAACATTACCTTAATTAATGCTTTCATGTTTTTTTTTGTCATAAAAAAAATAATTTCTATCATTTTGAATTATACAATACTTTTTTATGGTTCAGGTCAGATTAAAATGGAGAAGCAGACATACATTCAAGTATTTTTTTTCAAATATTACAACTACTACTACTATCACTAATAATAAATAAATAAATAAATAAAAAAGCAGAAAACGATTTTTTTCTTATGTCGAGATCACAGGAAAATTGAGCCATGATCAAAGAAAACAACTTTTCATTTAATTTTATTAATAAAAATAAGTCGAAAAACAAGTCTTAATCACGAGTAAAGGAGTTCTTATGTCAAGATCATAATTCATTCTGTGCTTTATATTTCATATCTATATATAGTCTTATTTTTTAAACAATGTATGTTCTTAATTGTTTGTTCCTAACAGTTTTGTTTATTTTATTTATTTATTTTATTGCCTGCTTGCAACATTGTAGCACATTCTTTTCCCAAGACATACTTCCTTTCGAGGACAAATAAAGTTTATCCTATCCTATCCTATCCTATCCTATCCTATCCTATCCTATACTATCATGAGGTAATTAAGCTGTGATCACAAGAAAACAAATATTTGAAAGCATGGCCTTAGGTTGTAGACTTCCGTAGATTTAAAATACAGTATTAAGGCAATAATATTATTTTTTCAAAACTCGTTTTTATGTACAGTACCTATATGTATTGAATTGCTAAAACACACACACACACACACACACAATTACACTCACCGGCCACTTTATTAGGTAAACCTTACTAGTACAGGGTTGGTCCCCTTTCGCCTTTAGAACGGCCTTAATCCTTTATGGCTAGGGTGACCCACCCTGTTCCTGGAGATCTACTTTCCTGCAGATTTCAGTTGCAACCCATATCAAACTCACCTGCCTGTAATTATCAAGTGCTGTTCAGGTCCTAATTAATTGGTTCAGGTGTGTTTGATCAAGGTTGGAGCTAAACTCTGCAGGAAGGTAGATCTCCAGGAACAGGGTTGAGCACCCCTGCTTTATAGCATAGACTCAACAAGGTACTGGAAACATTCCTAAGAGATTTTGGTCCATATTGACATGATAGCATCACACAGTTGCTGCAAATTTGTTGGCTGCACATCCATGATGCAAATCTTCCGTTCCACCACATCTCAAAGGTACTTTTGGATTGACTTCTGGTGACTGTGGAGGCCATTTGAGATCAGTGAACTGTCATGTTCAAGAAACCAGTCTGAAATTATTTGTGCTTTATGACATGGTGCGTTATCCTGGTAGAAGTAGCCATCAGAAGATGAGTACACTGTGGTCATAAAGAAAAGGACATGGTCAGCAACTATACTCGGGTAGGCTGTGATGTTGACACAATGCTGAACTGGTACTAATGGGCCCAAAGTGTGCTAAGAAAATATCCCTACACCACTAGTCTGAATGTTTGATACAAGGAAGGATGGATCCATGCTTCCATGTTGTTGACGCCAGATTTTGACCCTACCATCCAAATGTAGCAGCAGAAATCGAGACTCAGACCAGGCGATGCTTTTCCAATCTTCTATTGCCTAATTTTAGTGAGCCTGTGCAAAATGTAGCCTCTGTGAAAATCCCAGTAGATTAGCAGTTTCTGAAATACTCAGACCAGCCCATCTGGCACCAACAACCATGCCACGTTCAAAGTCAGTTAAATCACCTTTCTTCCCCATTCTGATGCTCAGTTTAAACTGCAGCAGATTGTCTTGACCATGTCTACATGCCTAAATGCACTGAGTTGCTGTCATGTGATTGACTAAAAAGAAACTTGCATTAACTACCAGTTGGACAAGCGTACCTAATAAATTAACCGTTGAGTGTATTTTATATTAAAAGACTAAATCCTGTCAATGCAGAAAAAGGCAATCTGCTTGTATTGGGAAATTATTGAGTTGCTAAATTAAAATTTAGACAATATATGCTGTTTCTTTCACACTCTAAGGAACAAAATTTATGTGTTTAAAAAAGCAACATTACAGCACAATAGCACAGCCAGCAGCACCTCATACATCTGCTTTGGCTGGCTGCATCTTTAAAGCAGAGGGTTTAATCTTTGCCCCATGAGCAGCTCTTCCTCTCTGTCTCTGTCAGGAGGTGGAGCTCTATAAGTCGAGTCAGCAAGATAAACTGGGGCTAACAGTCTGTTACCGAACGGACGATGAGGAAGACCAAGGCATCTATGTTGGGGAGGTGAGTTAACACATCAGGCCAGATAAATTATTTCAGTGCTCAGAACAACAGTCTGTCATACATAACATTCAAATGAGATATTCAAGTGGACATTTCAACTTAGGTGAATCCAAACAGCATAGCAGCAAAAGATGGAAGAATCAGGAAGGGGGATCGGATATTACAGGTATGTTTACAGCTCAGATGTGCTGTTAGAGGGAAATGATAATAATCAGAAATGGACTGACATGATTGTGTCATTGTTCATCTGGGATGCAGGTCAAGTGAGACAGTCAGCCGATAATTGCTGTGACTTTTAGCGCGGCCCACGTAATTGCTCTGGAGAATAATTACAGAACAGCAAACACAAAGTGTCACATTTCCATTGTCTTGACAAGTTCTTCATCTATTCTGAATTCTGATGGGACACTGACACATTCATTACCAAAGAGCTCATGAAACAAACATTGATGATTTGATGGTATATTTTTTTTTGTGTAAAGTAACTTATTACAAATACTCAAATTACTGTAATAGAGTAGTTTTTTCAGGATTTGAAATTTACTGCATTAAGTAATTTTACAAATAAGCACTTTTACTTTCACTTGAGTTCATTTGTAATACTGTATTGGTACTTTTACTCAACTATTTTCCTTCAACCTGCACTCACTACTTTATTTTTTCTTCTCTATGAGGATTGGTTAATTAGAAAAATCCAATCAAATATCTTATAGAAAGTAAATCGTATCCTACTGAAAAACCTCAAGACATGGACGCTTTATAAATGAAGCAAACTGTTTGGAAGCATTAAAAATGTCCAAAAATTTTTACACACAATGACCAAAAGACTGCATCTCACTGATGAGAAGATAATAATTGCCTACTGTATGATGACTGAAATCACAAAATGGCCTTAAACAATAATTAAGTGCACTACAGAATGTGACGTTGTCAACCACACACATGACAAATAGCATGTAAATGCTTAAACTTTTCACAGTGTAATACTCGCTACTTGAGTACTTGTAAAAGGGCTACATTTTTCTCATATTTTGAGTAATATTTAAAACAGATACCTTTACTCTACTTGCACCAGTTTTTTTGGAAAAGTAATTGTACTTTTACTTGAGTATAATTTTTCATTACTCTTTCCACCACTGGAAAAGACCTGATACTTTATGTTTATGCATGGTGTCAAATTATTCTCTGTCTCACATTAGATCAATGGAATAGAAGTCCAAAACCGAGAGGAAGCAGTGGCCATCCTGACTCGTGAAGACAGTACCAACTTCTCTTTACTGCTGGCCAGACCAGAGATAGAGGTAAAGACATATAACATGCAATAGAACACTTTTACTCAACGCCTTTTTAGTTTTTATGATCATTTTTGTGTTTCCAAAAATATTTATACACACACAGTGTTGAAGTCAGAATTATTAGCCCCCTTTGAATTATTTTTTCTTTTTTTTTAATATTTCCCAAATGATGTTTAACAGAGCAAAGACATTTTCACAGTGTCTAATAATATTGTTTCTTATGGAGAAAGTCTTATTTAATGTATTTTAGCTAGAATAAAAGCAGTTTTTAATTTTAAAAACATTTTATGGTCAAAATTATTAGCCTCTTTATCGTATATTTTTTGATAGTCTACAGAACAAACGTCATACAATAACTTGCCTAATTACCCTAACCTGCCTAGTTACCCTAATTAATCCAGATAAGCCTTTAAATGACACTTTAAGCTGTATAGAAGTGTCTTGAAAAATTTAGTAAAATATTGTCATCATGGCAAAGATAAAATAAATCAGTTATTAGAAATGAGTTATTAAAACTATTATGTTTAGAAATGTGTTGAAAAAAATCTGCTCTCTGTTTAACAGAAATTAGGGGAAAAAATATACGGGGGCTAATAACTCAGGGGGGCTAATAATTCTGACTTTAACTGTATATATATTCAATACGACAATCCAAATGAACTAGTTTCATAAAAAAAATATTAAAATGGAATTTATTGAAACTAACACACTTAATTACTGTTAGATCACAGTTTTACAGTTAAAAAGACACTGCTGTCTTCATGTAAGATTCTGGTTATAGGCATTTCTGTTAACCAGGAAAACAAATGTTGCTTTAATCCACACAGTCAAAAGATTATAACAATATAAAAAATGAAATATTGATGAAGCATAAATTAAGGAAAATCCATTAATTTATTCATTTTCTTTTCTGCTTAGTCCCTTTATTAATCTGGGGTCGCCACAGCGGAATGAACCACCAACTTATCCAGCATATGTTTTACGCAGGACATGCCCTTCCAGCTGCACACACTACAGTCAATTTTAGCATACCCAATTTACCAATAGCGCATGTCTTTGGACTGTAGGAAACTAAAGCACCCAGAGGAAAGCCATGCAAACATGGGGAGAACATGCAAACTCACATAGAAATGCCAACTGAACCAGCCGAGGCTTTCCAGCGACCAGCGACCTTCTTGCTGTGAGGCGATCGTACCCACTACTCCACCGAATCATCATTAAGACAAATATTAATAATAAAATATAAAAACATGATACAATGACAAATAATCATTAATAATCATAATTAAATCACTAACTAATGATCAATAAAATGATAATTATATAAATCAGTAATGATCATATGGTTAAACAAAATAAAGAATAGATCAATATAAACAAATGAAAATAAAACAACACAAATAAATGATGGTTTTCTAGAAACAACACACATAAGTTTGCTACAAGGAATCTTAATTCTATATCTTTAGTTAGATTCTTCAATACTAACACAGACTGTAGCAACTTCAAAGGCTCCTTCTCCTCTTTTGTCTTTTCTATCCTCTTGGTAACAACTACCAGAATTCTTATACTTTTAAAAGTATATTTCTATCTCCTATATAAGAAAGGCTAAGGGAAACCCTTGGAGACAAAGCAGACACTGAAATGCAATATAACTATGATCTCCACGAAATCATCCTCACATCCTCTGAGCAATAAAATGGTCCTCTAGGCACGCACAATTCCAGCACACACACACAAGCACAAAAATAGGCTTTTTGAGGCACATGCAAAGTTAATGGACCCGCTCTGTCCCCAACGACAGCATATCCTAAAATTAATGGCTTATTTTGCTGAAGGAAGGGAAACAGAAGTCTCACATCACTCAATGTCTCAATCATGTGATCACTCTTAGTGATGGGCGTCAAGGATTTGTGGCAGTTCCATTAACACTATTCCACAAGGAGACGAAGAGTGAGAGGGAACAAAGCTGCTTTACAGAATATGCACCATTAGAAAGGAAGGAGAGTAATTGAAAGAATTGATGGAAGGTTTGAGAGAGAAAGAGATCAAATCAAGGGGTACGAGTAAGGTACTGTTTACTAGGCAGAGATTTTTTCAAGTCAGCCTTTTCCAAGGACATAGCATTTCATATGCCTGTATACACACATATATATTTCATCTATAACAGTTTTTATTCTGCCTAATTTATATCTGTTTATTTTTATCATGAATTTCTCACTACTGCTGCAGTCATTACTTATTTGCTTAGCAGAAATGACTCACAAATAAAAACAAAAATACAAACAGAAGCCCTTAATCTGATCTTACAGCCATCTCTGTTAAAGTTAATCTAATTTTATACTAAATAAAGTTAAATTGCATTTACTCTCGCTCTGCTTGTATATAAACATCTCTAAATGAGCACCAATCCAGAGCTGTAAATATGGTTCTTGAAATGTATGACTTTGTATCATCAATTTTTCGGCAATTCCTGGCGACTTAGTGGAGATATTGAAAAAAATGGCTGTTGGTTATTGTGTGGAGCCGGCAAAAATCATCTATCATGAGCAGAGCCGTCAGCTAATGAATAAAACAGGGAGCTCATTCCAGCCAACGCACAGCACTAACAAGATCAGAACAAAAAAGGGGCCATTTTGTATCTTTCACACTACAAATACCCTCCCAGCAAAAGAAAATGATTAATGACAAACTGAAGAGCAGAAACAAGAGAGCTGTCAGATCAGGAGAGAGAATGAGAGATAGTGATGGAGAAATGGGATGGGAGGAGAGGAAAGACTGAGTAAATTAGGAGGAGAGAAAAAGAAAGAAAGAGAGAGAGAGAGAGAGAGACAGAGAGAGACGATTAAGAAGTGTCACGGAAAGACCATTAAAAAATGTTGAGCTAAAATATAATCATCAAGTGGTAATTACGATTGATTACTGGCTACCAATTGTAGACAAAAATACAAAAATATAAAAAAACAGCAGCAAACACAAAACATACATCTTGATTTTTTGCTTGGTATAAGATACTTATTACAAAAGAACATGAATAAATTACTCTAAATACCATGTCTTGTAATCCTTGTGTTGCTTTACCTCTGCAAATGTTGCTGAAATTTAAACAAGTATACGTACTGTGCCATCTAGTGTTCGTGTGTAGTATTGCAGCTTGTACTTTTATAACAATACTGTCATGGTAAACAACTAAAGCTTCACTTTCTTTTCTTCTTTCCTCCCTTGGTGGCTTTCCCCCAGACTGACACTCATTTGGACCCAGAAGAGCTTGATTGTGAGTTACCTGTAGGGATGAGTGTGGACACCCTTAATACCGCCAATCTGCCCGGCCTGTACCATTTCCGCCAACAGAGACTCCAGGCAGGCATTCCTGAGGAAGCTTTACATCGAGAGACACCCATGCTCAGCCTAGCAACCCTCAACAACAGTCAAGAGCTTGATAGTGGTGTTGGCCGAACAGATGAAAGCACAAAGAATGAAGAGTCCTCTGAGCATGACATCCTTCTGGGTGATGAGCAGACCAGCGCAACCAACACTAATGCCACCAACACGCCTGGTAGCTTGCGCAAATTTAGACCTGGCAGAGGTGGTGGAGGAGGAAGCGAGACACCATCTCCTTTGTTTCCTCTCCGAGAGCTCCACCTCAGCACGGACTCGCTGGACTGTGGAAGTGTGGGTGGAGGGTACCTTCATGATCCTGTCAGCGGGATGGTGATGCCAGGCCTGACAGAGGAGGAATGTGAGAGGTACAAGCAGCTTCTGGAAATCAAGTGTCGTTACGAGAAGAGGATTAAGAAAGTGCAGCAGGTTCAAGAAGAGCAGCAGAAAGATGGAGAGAGACAAGGGCAAGATGAGAATAGGGAGGAGGAAGGAACTCTGGATGAGAACAGTAATGAGAACCTGACTCCACACGAGATGGCACTTCTCGAAGAGGAAATGAGGCACCTTGAGTTTAAGTGCAGGAACATTCTACGAGCACAGAAGATGCAGCAGCTAAGAGAGCGCTGTTTGAAAGCCTGGCTGATGGAGGAAGAAACATCTGGCCGTGTGTCAGCAGAACCTCAGGGGTCTCCGTTGCATGAGTTATCTGATATTAATGAACTTCCTGAGAAAGAACGATCAGACAAGGACAGCACCAGTGCTTACAACACTGGGGGAGAGAGCTCCAGGAGCCCACCTATGGTGAGTGAACATCGACTTCCAGTTTCTCAGCAAGACGAGTCCACAAGTCCTCTGCCAAGCAGACACAGGGATCGGCCCATGTGGAGCGAAAGGGGACGAGCAAGCCTTAACAGCACCTATTCACCAAGCAGCTACAAGAAGTTTCAGACTATCACCCCTATGAATCAGAAGTTCTGTTCACTCTCAAGAGAAGGAACTGTTCGTCGAATGCCTGATGGGATGGCGCAGAACAGCAGTTCTAGGGTAAACAACCATACCAGGAATGGTGGTCGTAGTGCAGAGTCAAGTCCTTACTTCACTCGACGTCGTCATTCCAATTGCTTCACTCCAGAACGCTACCAGAGTTGCATGCATCTTGGATCCTCTCATTCTGAAAGCTCTGGACCTTTAGATAGAGCTGTGGAAGGAGAAAGTGAGGCACCAATTGGGGGCAGTGACCAAGAGGGACATTGTGAAAAAACCTTGGGGTCATTACCTCATCCCAGTCCAGTGAAGCTTTCTCTGGCTTTACCTTTGCCACTTTCCCCTGCCTCACCACGCATGGAGTGGAAGGTCAAGATAAGGAGCGATGGGACTCGATATGTGGCCAAACGTCCAGTCCGAGACCGGCTTTTGAAGGCCCGAGCTATGAAGATCCGTGAGGAGCGTAGTGGAATGACAACTGATGATGATGCAGTGAGTGAAATGAAGATGGGACGTTACTGGAGCAAGGAAGAGCGCAAGCAACAGCTGCTGAAAGCCAGAGAGCAGCGCAGACGCAGAGAGTTCATGATCCAGAGTCGCTTGGATTATTTGCGAGATCACGGTCTGGATGTGGGCAAGGACAGCCAGTCAGAATCAGGTCAGAACTCAGCCTCAATTTTAGAGCTCAGTCAGAAAAAGAGCTCCAAGAAGCGCAACCGACGCATACTGGACAACTGGATCACCATCCAAGAGCTTTTAGCTCATGGCTCTCGTTCACCAGATGGGACAAAAGTGTACAACCCTCTTTTGTCTGTTACCACAGTCTGAAATTAAAAGATGCTAAGGACAAAAGGGAATTAAATATCTTCTTACTTTGTAGAACTGTTTCAGGGTTCATCTGTCCACTTTATTATGGCTGCACAAAGTCTAGCGTCTACCACGCCGTTTAATGTTACTCCTTTTTTAATGAGTACTTAAAATGTAAATATCTGAAAAAGCCTAAAACAGGACCTTTATTTGAGAAGCAACATTGGAGAAGGTTAAAATTAATTTAAACTGAAACTGTTCAATTGTTCTTAAAATGTTTATACTCAAACTAATATAAATGATGAATTCACTGAAGTTTAATTTCTTATGCTTAAAGTAAATGTAACCTTCATATAAAATGCTTGGTTGGATTTTCTTGATTAATGAATGTCACGTCATATTACTTTTTAAAGTGGCATTACTGACACTTCTCGGGGTCAAGCATCTGCTTTTGAGCATTTCTACTTAACACATATGGCTGAGTGACAGAGGCACTCTTACAGATTATGAATGTTGACTGAATGGACTCACAAGCACAATGCACACATTACAAATGTGGACTTACAGCAGGACAATTGTTAAGTCATTTTTTGCAAGTAAACACAATGGAATTCATACAATAACTTCCTCGCAATGGCACAAAAGACAAAAATTCAATTTCTTAACTGCTGAATTTTTGGTTCCCATGGAAGATAATGGGTGGATGGAATAATAAGACAGCAACATCATCATATAAGTGCTTGACCTGTGCAGACACAATCATGGTAAACTTTCCTACAGAGGTGTGGTGCTGAACATTTGTACTGTTTGTTGACGATGGTCTGTTTACATATTTCTTCTGTACTGTTCATGATAACCCAAATATGACAAAAGCACAATGTAATCCACATTATGCTTTTTTTAATTTCGAATGTAAGATAATTCTTATCAATGCCCCAAGTCATCATCATGAAGATATTTTCACAACCCTATGTGGCCTAATGCGAATACATACTGATCACCAGCAAAAGGGAAAGCACAAACACTCTGGAATCCTATGAAATATAACCAGCTTAAAGAGTAAACAGATTGTACACTTTAATATACTGTTATTAGGAACATTTAACCTGAAGTGGTTAACACAACAGAGTAGTGAATACTCTAAAACTGTTCACAAAGGAATGATATACAAATTTGTCAGCATATTTGTAAGTGTTCAAAACCGTTTGAAGATTTTGTAGAAATCGGCCTTAAGACCCAGCAGGCACACAACATCATATGACGTTTTAACATTAGGTTCGATTTAGGTCATGACCAAAGTCAAGGTCAAGGTGACCAAAATTCAATGTCTGGCCAGCGTCTTAGGACAACGTCATTTTGACGTCCAATAATGACGTTGATATTTGGTTGATTTTAGGTTGGACATTAACGTTGGGTTCTGATGTCAACCTGATTTTCATTTCCAAACAAAATCCAACGTCCCCACAACGTTGGGATGCAACGTCAATAAGACATGCTGTTAAGATTCTGTGCCTGCGGGGGAGTTTTAGCCAGTTTTAAAATTCGAGACAACTGTTTAGCAAAATTAATTTTGCATGACTTTGCCTAAAATGTACACACCAGAAGCACACAAATAACTTCCGTTTCTCAGTTTACAAATGTATGTGACCAGAGGACTTTATCCAGATCATTTGTCATTTCTGTCTTGATGTTAGATACAAATGTAGAAATCTGCAGTTATACTCATATGGTACCTGTTGATCGATATCAATAGTCCTAATTATACTATGTGTAATGTGCATTAGTTCTTGAGTGATTATTTCAATGCATTACTGAGATAATATAAAAATACTCCATTTTAGACAAATAAAACCATTTTGTATGCTTAATATAAACTTGTCAGTATTTGATTGCACGCAACACACATTCACACTGTTCACACACCAAAAAAAAAAAAAAGATAAAGCAGCCAAATTGTCCATCAAAAATAACATTAATAAAAACAAGTTTCCAACAGCAAGAACATGTTTTATAGAATGAGAGCAATAAATTATCACATAATTTCTCTGAATTAGTTCTGCACTGAAACCTCATACATATATACAAATAAAACTTCATACAATGAATCATTTTAAATATAGGAACTTCTCTTACACACACATACTGATACAATTTTACAATTACAATTTCTTTCAAGCCCCCTCCCCACCCTCAGGTCCGTAAAATGTAAACAATGGTTCCCCTTCCCAGCCAGATATTGATACCCCAGTCCAGTGCAGAGTAAATATGGCATATTTATATCAGCTAATATATACATTCAGGTTTATACAGCATCATTCAGCTAAGTGCAGACATGCAACACGGGGCACGGTGGCGCAAGACATCAGCATGTCCAGAAACCAGAACACGCATCTCAAAACTACTGGATTGATTTTTATTTTATTATTTTTTTTAACATCATACATCTCTGCTTTTATTTGTGTAGCATGCCCCAGCACTCAGGACTTTTAATACAAGCACAAGAGCAAAGCATTAGAGTTAAAACGAAGAAAAACTGCCCATTATAAGCGAAAATCGTGAAATATAGTGAACGGCCCTCTCGATTCAGATCACACCACAGCTTGTGGGGGAAATGGACTTCCTGTTTGTCTACAAGGGCCTTACGATTTCTAGTTATTGATAACGCTAGCATATTTGAAGTACTGGAATTCATTACCTGAATAAACAGCATTGTAGTTTGACCATGTGTAGGCAAGTAAAACTAAAGAACAAGATAAGAGCTGGGCCTAGCAGCAGAGATATTTATTTTCACCCTTGTAGGACTTGTTACAATTTTGTTAGTATAAAAATAACTCAAACACATCACTATTGTGTAATACTGTGCATGATTGCACTTAATGGTGAGAGAACGGCCCATTTTGGTTGTCAAAGAGGGGAGGTGAGGAAAGTGAAAGGGACTGTTTGGAAGGACGCAGATGGTTTTGGAGCTTTGGATCCTAGGCACTGATGATCTTTAACTTGTGAATGTGCAAAATTAGAAACTTTCAGCAATAAGATCTTCACATTTAAAGATGCTGTTAAGCTTCCCAGTGTGAATGAGTGTGTGAATATAGGTCCCCTAAACACGCGTTTCGATAAAAAAATAAGAGGGCACTGACACTGGACATGCAACTCGGCGTTAATTCACAATATTACAGGAGCGAGTTGCTCAAGTGTGTATGGCTTCTGGCAATGACAAGTTTTACACCAATCATACAGCTTTTATGTGGATAATATAGTTTCAAAAACTTGCTGCAAAACATTTACCTGAAATCAGCAGTCCAATTAGTTTGCTAAACATTGATTTTACGTGAGAAAAAAAAGCTAGCCTGTTCATCTAAAAAACAAAACAAAACAAAAAAGCTCTTAGAAAACACTCGGCACGGCACTCTGCTAAAACATATCCAGGTATCATATTAGTAGTAGCTTTTACACCAAAAATAGCAAGAATTATATCAATAGTATTTGACATCGTAATAGTAATAAAAGTCGTCCTTTAAAATCCCCCATATCCAGATGTTCCTTTTAAAATTCGATTACTTCTAGAGATTTATTTGACTGCTGAAACTGTACAAAACCAAGTCCATAAGTACAGAATTCATTTGAAGCTTTCGACAACGCTATGAACATCCTGCTCCTTCAACAGGTCATCAAGAGGAAAACATCCAGGTGTTAACAAAGCATAATTACTGATCCAGAACCTCCAATGACAAACCTTTTCAGTAGGCACTAAGGTTATGCAATGAATTGCCGAAAAAAAGTTTCATTGGTCAGAGAATTATGAGCTTTACTCTAAATAAAAGTGAAATGGCAGAGCTAAAAGGGAAAGAGAAATGCTGAGGTAACAGGTGGCAGGAAATAAACAGAGACAGCACTGATTTTCAGTCTTTTCCAGTCCTGATTGCTTGCTATCAGTCACGACTCCTTTGTGTATGATGTATTTAGGTTTGTTTACCTAATAGTGTTTCATAACAGCAAAAAAAAAATTAATAAAATATTTAGCAAATATATTCTCATTCTACACATTCTGTTTAGTAACCGAAAAGGCGCAAATGACATCATGACTTCACTGAGGTCTTTAAAAAAGTGTTTTTACTGTTATGGCTGACTTATTGCAAACCTGATGCCCAGCTTCTTCAAGACAAAAAACAAGCAAAAAAAAAAACATTCTTCAAATAGTTTTAAAATAATGATGATTTTGTTTTAACTGTGTAGAAGTTTCCACTCATCACTTCACTCACAAGGCGAAACAAAAGTCTTTTAACAGAATTACAAAAGTGTTTGGCATCCCTCTAAAAGCATGCTGGCGCTTCTTATATGTTGAGGAATAACTCTGACAATTCTGAGGAATGTATCAAGCAAATATTTTCTGACAGACCCTGAAATGATTGTCATCTGAGACGCATGGAAACTTAAAAGACTACGTATGGAATTCTTTTATATTTTGCACTCATTTTTTTCTGGTATCCTTGTTGAGTGTTTAAAGAGTTCACTATTGTCACCTTGTGTATAGTCAAACTTGGTCTTTGAAATTCCAGTCTTAAATTGGCACCCCCTTTCTCCCTGTAATCTCTTCCTTTGGCAGCGATGCACGTAATATTCAACTCTCAAAAAACACTTCATCTGCTTCACCATTGTCCCGTTTAGGCTTCTCAGATCTTCCGTCGGAGATTTGACGCTGTTACACAACCCTTGTTTGGAATGGCGGCGAACAGCAAGAGGTCGCTCAAGCTAGCAATGAGCATGTAGCCGGCTAGGTTTCCTGCTCTTACACATGAGGAAAGCTGATGTGGAAGTAACAGAGTCTGAGTTTGGTGTGCTTCCTCCTGCCTGTGCTCCGGCTCCTTCGCGTTAGGACCCTGCGCCCTCTGCCGCGGCTAACCCTCACACCACCGTGCTGATACGGTTGATAGGCTTGGATTTGGAGCTGCCGACCGTGCTGCTGTTGCTGGCTCCACTTCCTCCTCCGCCCCCTGGGCCGCCCGACTGCGCCCCCATGGGTCCAGGGAGCTGTGGGGCCAGCGGGGAGAGCGGGGTGAGAGGCGTGAGAGGGGTATGTGGGGACGATGGAGGAGGTAATGGGGAGTGTGGTGGGGGAGGTGGGATGGATGATAGGGGCGGATACTGTGGTATGTAGTGAGAGACGCCCTGCGGTATGTGCCGGGCTGTGATGGCGGATGGTGCCTGAGGGGGCGGTGAGAAAACGAAGTGAGTTTGGCCGGAGTGATGGAGTTCGGGGTGGGGACTGTGGACGTGGACGAGATGGTTGTGGGTATGAGAGTGACCGTGGGAGTGGGCGTGAGGGTGGGGCTGAGAGTGAGACAGGGTAAGAGGAAGCTTGCCTGTAGGTCCAGGCACTCGTGCGAGGCGTATGGGATTTCCGTGCACGTGGTAGAAGTTGAAAGGGCCGACGGGAGAATGGGGTGAATGCGGGGACAGAGGCGGAGGGGTGCAGGCCATGTTGCCATAGCGGCCTTGCTGCATAGCGTGGTGGGACAGTTGCTGCTGGAGCTGGGGGTGCGAGGGAGCGGCCGGTCCACGCCTTGGGAGGGACCCTCGTTGTAGCGTGTGGTGCATAGCGGGAGGATGGCCTGAGGGAGGGTGCATAGAGGGAGGATGGACAGAGGGAGGATGCATATTGGTTGGATGCATAGCGGGAGGATGGATATTGGGTGGATGCATAGCGGGAGGATGGATATTGGGTGGATGCATAGCGGGAGGATGGATATTGGGTGGATGCATAGCGGGAGGATGGATGTTGGGTGGATGCATAGCGGGAGGATGAATATTGGGCGGATGCATGGCGGGAGGATGGATGTTGGGGGGATGCATAGCAGGAGGATGGCCAGGGGCGCCCACTTGCATGTGGTATCGGTGGTGATGGTGGTAGGGGGGTGGTGGCTGGCCAAAGTTGTTGTGACAGTACTGAGCGTGGAGCGCTTGAATCTTGGATGGCCCACCGGGATCTGACTGGCTGAGGGCGGAGGGAGAAGGAGGCGGAGGTCCTCCTGTTGTAGGAGGTCGTACGGGGGCTGGGTAGTGTGGCCCGGGGGGAATAAGGGGAGCAGGGGGTTTGCCGCGCTTGCTCCCAAACAGGGAGCCCAGGAATGAACCGGAATTGCTCCCTCCAGAACTGCTCCCCGGCCCCCCACCTCGATCGCTGGTGCCAGAGCCCCCCACCATATTGCCTACTGCATTGTGAAGCTGCCCCGGCCCACCCCCCACCCCTACTCCGGGGCTCAGGATGGGGCGGTGAGGCCGGTAGTCTTCCAGCCCGTAGCAGCCGGGAACGGCACCCCCCATGGGTAAGCGTTGATGCGGCTGAGGACTGTTAATGATGGATCCCTACAGTGAGCATAAAAACACAAAGCTTGACAGTCATGACACTGGAATTCTGAGTAGATCCACATTGTTGAAAGCAATAAAAATGACAGGAATTCCTTGATCAAAATAACAAAATTGAAATTGTTGATCAACAATGACATAAATATTTCATATAGAGATAGTTTAACAAAAATGAAAATGATTCTTTTCAGCTTATAGAATACATCATGCTCAAGGATACAATCTCTCTCTCTCTCTCTCTATATATATATGTTTACTTTTAAGAGACACATGCATGCACACAAGACATCTAAAGCACAAAGTTAAAACTGTCAGCGTCTTCCTATACAAGCCACACTGCAAATAAATAACGAAGCAAAGCTTACTTTTGTCCTCAATCAAGACATGCATTTAATAGCACCAGCATTCAAACACTGATTGTGTAAATATTTTTTTAAAGCATTAGTTATTTGTAGGGCCAGACAAAATCTGCGGACATTTTTTGCTCTTTCTGTGCAGAATATTGTGAAACATCTGCAGATTTATGCTGAATGATTTTGGGTGTATCATAACTAAAAACTTAATATGTTAAATAAAAAATAATACATTTGTAACTTTTATTTAATGTGTACAATGCAAATCCTATTAGATCAATTTATTTGGTAAATAAAGCAAGTCTCCCATATAATATATCAACTAAAAGACAGAAATGATTACTTTTAAAACTGTATTGTAAGTAAATCATATGAATGTTTTCATATTAGTCAATAATATTACTAAAATTAATTTAAAAACTGGATAAATATAAATTTACACACAACTAAATATATAGACTCAATGATGGGCTGAGAATCTGTAGAAATCTGCGAACTTCTGCATGCGCAGATTCAGTATGGGCCTAGTTATTAGTAGTTAGCAGCAGCTGCATCAGGGATATCAAGACACATCACATGCAAAACATACACATATTACCCTTTTTACACAATAAAGATTAAAACATGCTGCACTTGATCACACAACAATCACAAATTCAAGACCCATGCATTTGTAAAAATTGCAATAAAGATCATTCCATTTTAATAAGACGGCATGCATTAAGAACTGCCTGACTTACTTCAATGGTACTATCCAAAGAGCCAACGCTGTTTCTACGGCCTCGCTTTCCTGCACCCAACCAACCATAGCAAGGTCAGGGTCAAAAAACACGAAGGAAACATTTTCCTACACTGCATAAAGGATGTTTAACCTTGAAGGATCCATTTAACAGGAACAAGCTATAAATTGTGTACAGAATTGTTTTGTAAACAAATTTCACTTCAAAATACTGAACAAAGCTAAACTTGTAGGTTTTTTTTTATAAATGTGTAAAAATATATTTTTATGACCAAAGAAAATGATTCTAACAAGTCTGGAATGTAGTAATAAATATGCTATGATATCTATAATATGATTATGCCATTCATTACCACTGTATTGAAAGCCTTATGCAAGGACATAACTTGCCATTAGAGGGCAGTGTCTACCAAACTGTATGCCATTTCAGAAGTTCAGAATTTCAAGAAAGAACCTTTTAACATAAACTGCAGTGAATTTCTAAATATTAATTATAAATATTCCCATAACAAAAAAAAAGTTAAAAGGTTTCAACAGTTCATATATTTATATATAAATTTATAGTTACTTAAGTATTTTGTCAGTGTTTAGATATGCCCGTCAAGTAAAAAGATTCAAAATACATTATTATGGTAGAAGAGTGAATCACACAAAATTGTCTTTTTAAATAATTACTAAAAAGATTACACATTACAAAACTTAAACATTAGCCTAGTCCACAGAAATGAATGGAGCATGAATAATGACTAAATGGACAACTATTTCCTGGTCTTTGATAAGCCATCTCAGGCCTTTCTGGTAAACTGTCAGTCATCGAGATGTCATTCTGTATCACATCTGAGCATATTGTATTCAGTGAGAGGATATATGCTGTATAGGTATACCCAGCAATATCTATGCCAATAATGATAAATGTAAAATAACATTACAAATTCTGTTGTCTAGGCTACCAGAAAGCAAGCTGATATTATCACTATAAATAACGTGCATTGTGACAATAACGTTGGTAAATAGAATATAATTACTGGATGACTAAAATGTAGATACCATCTGTTAATCTCCTTTATATCAACAGACTTGGCACTAACACGGAATTAGGTCATTATAATCACATCATTTGTTTGAGATTATTTCTTCAGTGGAACAGAAAAGAAATCTAGCCATTCGTGGTATTTTTCTGATTGCGATTGCTACTGCAACATTTTTCAAAATATCTTCTTTTGTTTTTAGGAACAGAAAAATCACCTCAGGGTGAGTACATTTACAGTTTTGGGTGAACAATCCTTTTAGTTTAAACAATTTATTTAACTGACTGCTTTCTACCTGCAATCTAAGCATTGCATTACATACATACAGACACACCAACAACTGACATTTAACCAGCTGTTTTTTTTTTCCCAGTTGGCTTATTTTATTGCATAATGCCTTAAAAGTACTCCATGCTAAATTTTAACTGTATTCCTCACAGAATCTGAGAGCTGTAGTTGAAATAGTGTGCAGTTTTCTTGTGTGAATGTGTGTTGTACCCGTATCAGAGAGGTCTCTCAGTGAAGAACTAAGCGCCGTCCGTTTAAGGCCCTCTCCTGCAGCATATGTGTCATCCAGGCTGGGCCTTCCAAGAGTGCCGTTCACAGCCTCAGTTTTCATTCCACCGACGCTGCTCACTTCCCCACTCAAGAGCCCTGGACGCATCACACCTTTCTGCTTCTCTAACTCAGCTGAAACACATTTTAAATACATGTCAAATATATTTTGAAACAGTGAGCATCAATAAAATAGATCCTTCACATTCATTTCTGGGTCAAGAAAATACATGTCCTTGCAAGGGAGAAGATCTGAATTGTCCATTATTTAAAATAAACTATTTTAGAATGGGATTTTTTAAAAATATATTTGGGGTATCAAAAATATAAATAACTTACAACAGTCCAAATTATGCACAGCTATATAAATATATAGCACTGATTTTTGTCTGTTAGAGTGGCCATCAAGAAGAACTATCACAATGTGTCCTTTGCATTTATTTATGTTATATGTATAATCAATTATTTAATATGTGAATATTCTAGCAAATATTTATTTTTGTAATTTATTTTATTCTATGGGAACGAACATTAAACCTAGGTATTCATTTATCAGCCACATAGCAAATTTCAGAATAAGAACACTGTGTTTATTGAAGGAGTCTGAATTCTACCTTCAAATCCATCTCAACGTGAATCAACGTTTATCCTTTTTCTCAACATCCTGTTTCTAATCATTTTTACTACATATAATTATTTGTAGTAAATCACTTTATTTGTAAATTATTTGTAAACTAAAACACTGCTTGATATAAGAATGTTTAGTGTCCGTGCTCCTCTCCTTGCCTGTGTCTTTCAACTTTGTTTTCAGGAGACACACAAAAACCAGGTCATAGCGTCTGGACGGAATTATTGTTGTAAAGGAGAGGAAAAACACCTGTTCTATTCGTCACAATTTTGTCTACAGTAATTTAGTTATTTTGATTGTTCGGTTTTGTTTGTAATTCTATTGTAATTCCTTTTGTATGTAGATAGACTCTGTGTGTAGTAAGGATATTGTAGCCGAATGTTGATGGAATCAGTCTTGAATCAGTTTGATAAAGCGTACAAAAGCACAAAGTTTGATAAAACGTACAAAAAACAACCTTGGGTTTCCACAACAGATTGTCTCTTGCGCCTATTGTGTCCCTGGTTTAGCTTTTACAGGTCGGAGATCAGCTCTTAATACCTTAAGGGTCGGCCTGACCCCCAAGAACGATGTCGCCATCTATATCTAGAGCTAGATACAATACTTCATTGACGCACGCATTTAGAATTGTCTATTTTTGCTGTAACCAATAAGAACTGTTTACCTGGGTCCCACCTTTTCTGGACTTGTGTAAAGAGTATAATTGCTGCATTGTTGTACTGTAAGTCAGAGCGGCCTAGGAACTCATTGCAAGTGTTGAAGCTGGCTTCTGCTGATGAAACTGTAATTTATTTTCAGTAAACTTCATTTATTTATATGAATCTCTGACTCCGGCTTTCCTTCATTTGACAGACTGGTCATTCTTTGGGTTAAACTGTATACCATCCTTACATCATGAATAGTAAAACAACATAAAATAATAAATTTCTTACACTCTACACGGTATTTCTCCATGTCCTGCACCTCAGCGATGCTCTCTCGCAGGTCGCTGGTGAATCGCGTTCGGTCCTGTTGGCTCGGTGCATTAAACACAATCAGGACCTTACGCTCGGCACCCGGCATTGCTGATGTCAGTCTGATACCATGAGCATAGTCTGAGACAGAGAGAGAGAGAGAGAGAGAGAGAGAGAGAGAGAGAGGGAGAGAGAGAGAGAGAGAGAGAGAGAGAGAGAGAGAGAGAGAGAGAGAGAGAGAGAGAGAGAGAGAGAGAGGGTAAATGCAGTCAATTAGAGAGAGACCCAGATAAAGGAGAATGTGCTGTGCATCATGTAATTAGTTATAGATCCTCATTCTGACAAAATGCACAGATACCCACAAGTAATGAACTACAACTAACCACAAAAAATAATTTTATAAGCTGTACTTTTGCTGTTTTTAAGTGAGAAAATCTTTAAAAATTTACTTGATTTTTGGTTTTCGGAAAAATTCATGTATGATATTATTTAAATGTAAAGATTCTTTTAAAATGAGAATTTTTATGTTATTATTTTAGTATCACATGCCTAACAAACTATTTATTATTTTTATTAATATTATTATCATTATTCAAACTAATTCATATAAATAAAGAACAGACATTGCTACTCAAAAAGGATAGAATTGAGGTGACAGTAAGGATTTACAGATAGTTGTCTTTTTCTGCTTCATATATGGCTAAGAAACCAAAATACCACCTACACAACAGCAAGGAAAGGCTAATGAGAAAAGAGATGGAGTGATTGAGTGGATGAAAGCAGAGTGTGTAAACCAACTGGAAAGGAGTGATGGTATAAATAAAGAAGGAGGGACAGATGGTCAGACAGATGGAGGGATGAATATACTTACAGGAGTTCTGGAACATATGAACCTGCATCTCCACCAGGGGAAAAGACTGTCTGAAACTGTACGTAACAGACGTCTTCTTCTTCTGAAAGATCTTCGTTACCTGCAGTCAGGAACAGAAGGGATGTTAGGCGTTAGGTGTAGTTATGACCATTACACATACACATACTATAAACCGGAAAATAACAGCTTGGACACACTTGACTGAATTTCCTTGTTTATAACTTCCATTGCCAATCAAAACCCAATGCATTTGTGCTGTGTGTAAAGAAAATTTAATTTGTATTTTAAAATGTACTTTAAAATTAGTTATAACTGGGTAACAATAATGATAATCTGTAGTTTGTAGGCTCTACACTGCAAACATAAAAATAAATCCAATACATTTTTCCGTACTCTTATGATTGGCAGGACCTAATCTGCTTATTCTGATTATTGTATTTATTGGCCAATACCAATCACTGACAGATGTCTAATATATCTATATATGAATCTCAAGATTTCCTCATAGTCCATGCGGTATAGGTGAATTGGATAAACAAAACTGGCCTTATTGTATGAGTGCATGAATTTAAGAGCATATGGATGTTTTCCAGTATTGTGCTGCGGCTGGAAGGCTATCCGCTGCGTAAGACATATGCTGGAATAGTTGGCGGTTCATTCCGCTGTGGCAACCCCTGATGAATAAGGGACTAAGCTGAAGGAAAATGAATGAATGATGTTCAAGATGATTTTCACAATACTGTATTCTATTTGTAAATTAGAATGTACTTACATTAATAAAACCAGAAATTAAAGTTTAAAATTATTTAAAATAAATCATAAATATAGGCAATTGAATTGGGTCAAACTACATGAGAATTGATAAATATAGATTGTAACTTAACTTGTTAAAATGCACCTATTTAATCCCTTTTTAAGATTTAAGATAAGTCTTTTGTGTCTCCAGAATGTGTCTGTAAAGTTTCCGCTCAAAACACCCATCATTAATTATTTATCTTTTTAAATCCGGTATATTTGAGCTTTTAAAACATTGTAGCTGTTTTGTTGCCTGTGCCTTTATTGCAAATAAGCTATTTCTCCCAGCCCACCATTTACGCCGGTGTGTCAGGGATCTGCTTCTGGAGCGTGGTCTTCACGTAGATAAACAGCAGAGTGACAGACAAGAATGAAGCAGATCTCTCTTACTATAGTTAGAACTTTCCCAACTGTTATTTGATATATTTGTTGTGGAGTTAAGTCAAGCCTTTTTGCAATGATGAGTCACACACAATGTCTTTATAAAGTTTGCACACGCACACACACATTCGGCTTTGCAGTGTTTTTGCATGGCAAATGTGACAGAGCACATGTTAATATCCACTGCTGTATGGATATCCGTTATGTTAATGTACAAAATAAACCTGATTTAACGTCCACAAACTGGGATTTAGGCGTCTTCTTTTATAATTGTACTGAAACTATGCGGCTGTGGTTTCAAATTACATATCGATTTTACTGTCTTATTAAAAAAAGAGACTTATTATGTTTATATCACTCTAATATGACTGTGGACACACTATGCCTACACACAATTCTGTCCAAACAGTTTCCAAAAGATTATTTTTATCATTTGCGCCTTTTAAAAAACATGTCAAGACTTTAAGTCTCATCACTTTTATTTATTCGGCTGTACAAAACAGCTTGTTATGCTGACTGATTTCATAAACAGTTATTTTTACTCATATTAATTAAAACACACTGTTTGTTTCCTTTTATTGGTATTTTTTATTCTTCTACAAAAAAAATATAAAAGCTCTCACTGGGGTCTTTTCAAAAAGTATCCATTTGTACCAAAAGGGTCCATACAGGTACATTTAAGGTACACATTATTACCTAAAAGTACAAAAATATACCACCCCAACGATAGCTTAAATATATTTTTTTTCTAAGAGTGCAGTTAAAAACTATAACTTTAGATAAGGGCAACGCAGTGGGTTTCTGTGTGGAGTTTGCATGTTCTCCCTGCATTCGCATGGGTTTCCTCCTGGTGCTCCTGCTGTGGTTCCCCCACAGTCCAAAGACATGCGGTACAGGTGAATTGGGTAGGCTAGGTCCGCAGTGTATGAGTGTAAATGAGTGTATGTGGATGTTTTCCAGAGATGGGTTGCGGCTGAAAGGGCATCCGCTGTGTAAAAACGTGCTGGATAAGTTTGCGGTTCACTCCGCTGTGGTAACCCTGGATTAATAAAGGGACTAAGCCGAAACGAAAATGAATGAATGAACAAATTACTTTTAGTTAATAAATCAGAAGCTCATGCATCCACAAGAAAAACGAAAACATCCACAGCAAAATAAGGTGGGTAATTATTATAAGTGCACAACTAATCTAACCAAAAAGGAAGGAAGTTCTTTTTCTACTATTTTGTATGTTCTTTTAGTAATTAGGCCATTATTGGCTGAGTGAAGACTCACCACTAGCAGGTCATTAAAGAGGAAGACCTCCCGCTGGTGAACTCCACTCCGCTGGGGTCGATTGGGGTCTGGGACTTCATACAGCTGACAGCAGCACACAAGCCTGCGGTGAGGCAGAGAGAGCACCTGCACATACACACACACACACACACACACACACACACACACACACACACACACAGACACACACAAACACACACAAGAGGGATATATCAGAATACAACTTGACTTGTCTCACGCTAAACCACAAAAATAAACAAGATCAAGTTTTCCTCTGAACGATAATATGTGGTTTTTAACACAAGCTTGACAGGCATAGTATAACTTACGGGCTTCTTTCCAACTATGACCCTCTCCACAGCCTGCACTTGAGAAACATGGTCATCATTTGTCCTGAGTTCCCATTTCTGAATGCGCTGGTAGATGCCCACTAACAAATCCCTGGGAATGTCCTGTCCATTATCCACTCCTGTCGATGAAGAGAACAGAATGTGAGACTGCTGTATTGTGTTTTATTGGGAAACATAAATCAGATTTACCATATTTTTCAGAAAACAAGTCAGGTTAATTTAACTGGAGTGTCTATTCACTATTTGTGCAAGTGGCAGAGTCTATTTGCACTGCCTCTGACCACCAGTGCTTGGCTTCATCAATCAAAATAACAAACGTTGCACCCTGAGGCACGAAGTACTGGGGAATTTTGATGCGTTCTCATTTTTCCTCAAATAAGAAACAAAGGCATTCATCTTAAATAAAAAAATAACAAAATATTATAAAACTGCTAACAAAACACACAATAGTTATTCAATAAGAAAGTGTTTAGGGTTAGGGGTAGGTGTAAGGAGTTTATTGTCCCAATTAGGCAGCATACATTTCATTAATTCATTTTCTCATTGACAATAAATGTGATATTGTTGCATACTGTATAATGTAGCCTTAATACCGAGGTGCAAATATTTCCCACTACTTCTATTAACCATAAATACAGTAGCATCTAAAAAAATTTAATTATTAAATAATTAATTAAATAAAAGTATTTTTAAATAGTGTAAATAAAAGTATCATTATTTGATCTTAGTGTAAATAGCATAATGCTAAGTAAATACTGCTAAGACAATTAGTATAAACAACCACTCATTGCTAATAGTATTTGATGCATAAAACAGTCAGCATAATCTGAAAACCTTCTATAGCTTCTTACTAAAGAGACTTTTACAATGCAATTAACACAAACGTGTACACATCTGGACTGATGTCATGTGAAAAGAGACATGTAAGCATTTGTATAGTATACTTGACATAAACTACTAGATTCTGTTTAGCTTTAAATAAATGTATGCAACTTAATATAATAAATAAATAATACAATAATTAATTATTTACAATAAATATTGTTTATAAAGAGTGCCATTTTTCACTTTTTCATTTTTCTGTCTATTCTGGATTTGTTTAAGTGAGGGGAAATATTAAAGATATTTATAATATTTGCAAATACAGTTGAAGACAGAATTATTAGCCCCTCTGAATTATTCGCCCCCTGTTTATTTTTTCTCCAATTTCTGTTTAACCGAAAGAAGATTTTAAAAAACATATTTCTAAACATAACAGTTTTAATAACTCATTTATAATAACTGATTTCTTTTATTTTTGCCATGATGATAGTAAATAATATTTGACTAAATATTTTTCAAGACACTTCTATACAGTTTAAAGTGACATTTAAAGGCTTAACTAGGTTAATTAGGTTAGGATAAATAGGCAAGTTATTGTATAACGATGGTTTTTTCTGTAGACTATCAAAAAAATATATATAGCTTTAAGGGGCTAACAATTTTGTCCTTAAAATGGTGTGTAAAAAATTGAAAACTGCTTTTTTTCTAGCCAAAATAAAACAATAAAAATGTATCCGGAAGAAAAAACATTATCAGGCATACTCTGAAAATTTCCTTGCTCTGTTAAACATCATTTGGGAAATATTTAAAAAAGAGAAAAAATTCAAAGGAGGGCTAATAATTCTGACTTTAGCTGTATATATATACCCGAAAGTATTGTTACTCTTTTTGATTCACCCTGTATATATATCACAAACACTATTTACAATGATCTGTGATTAAAATTAAAACATTTTGACTTTCTTTTAGCTTTTTGGTTTTTCTTTTTCCATTTTCAACAACAGACTTTTACAGCATGACTAGTCATATTTTCTAGAAAAGCCATTTTAGAAAGGATCACCTCTAAGGTTCTTGATAAAATCCTCCAGCTTCATTTTCCTCTCAGCTTTGACATTGGGGCTGTACATGTCTGTGTTGAGGAGGATGATGGCAAATGCCAAGATGAAGATTGTGTCTGGGTTCTGAAACTGACGGACAAGCGCAGGGTTGCACACGCAGTATCTCTGGCTGCGAGACAGAAAGAAGGCCATACTCATGTGGAACTTTCAAATGCAGAGAAAAGTGCACAGATGAAAGCAAAGGCTACCTGAAGGCCTCCACTAATCTCTCCACCTTCTGGGCTTCACCCTGAACCTTAATCTGAGCCTGAAACTTCCTCAAGGCATCGTCCAAATCCATGCCAGAGAAATCCATTTCATCCAACACACAGCTGAGGAAGACGAACAAAAAGAAAGATAAATGAATTTAATTGCCAGCATGCTTCTGTTGATTTTTGTAGCCAGTGTCTGGCTTCTGTTTTTTGCCTCCAGGCTGGTGTGAGCAGCATATGGATGCTTTGCTACAATCTGGGTCTTGAAAACAGGAAGCACATCATTACTTACTCCAACACATCCTTGTTAAACTGTTTCTGTCGGTTTCCCAGAAACTCGCCAATCATCTGTCTGCTTAGGCCTTTCCTCTCTAGGATGAAGCGTGCGATACCCACAGGTGTGTCTGAAACAAAACCTCTCTCTATCAAATACTGGATGCCCTTTTCTGGTTTCCTGAAAAAGAAGAGACAGAAGAATTAAGACAGAAACAAAGAGGATAAAAAAGACAGAATTTTCATTAAAGTAAACCTGTGACCAAATTATATAAAAATGAAAAATAAATACTGAATATAGCTTGAGTATAGCTTGAGGTAGGCTAATGTATAGACTCATGAGGTTTCCACTATGTCTTCCATTGATTTCCATAACTAGATTTTAAAATACATTTGACTGCTTAGTTTCATCTTCTCATCAGAAACAGTTTTCTGAAGCACTTAGCTAATGTTATCATGGTGCTAAAAGAATAACAACACTCTTCAATTAACAATCAGTCTTTCATCATAAGATACTTTCTTTTCATTATGATTCTTAGTAGAGGCACATGTTAAAATAACACTGTACTGCCATAGATTGTCTGTATTTTTTTACACAGGTTAAGTCAGAAAAGAGTATGAATGTGTATGAATCATAAATACATCTGATAAATCTGAGATTCTCATATCAATGTTACCAGGTAAAATATAACTGTGTGATTAACCATAAGGGAAAATTCAATAATATTGCGGTTGACAAGTATAAGTTTACAAGGCCCTTTAAAATGTGTTTTTTCTTTCAGTTTTTTCTGTATTAATTTATTTCATATAGGAAATAAATAAATAATTTAATTAATGAATCAATTAATGAATTTTACATGTAATAATATGGTAGAGAACCTTAGTTTAATACTCATGACACATTGACTAAAAGCTGGCTGAGGAAAAATCTTTATAACTTTCTTCTTTCTTCTTTTGAAGATATTTTGATGAAACTGCTAACCACTGACATCCAAACAAAAAAAAAAAAATACTGTGGAAGATGGTGGTTGCCCGTTTCCAACATTTTTCAAAATATCTTAAAATTATTTTGTGATCAACAGAAGAATGTTGAATAAATGATGACAGAATTTTTATTTTCTATCCCGTTAAAGCTTATATTTTGAAAGGCTGAATTTTTAAGACCTGATGAAACCTCATTTAATTAAAATATGTATAATAATTACAATAAAAACATTGCATGTTTGTAAAAAGCTATTCAAATAAAAAAGAAATTTTTGTAAACAGATTCACTATTTAAAATCAACTCAAAACATCACATGATGCAGCACAATCTCAATCTCAATCCCATAACTACACTCATCAATGTCTTACTTGTTGAAGAGGTTGAGTCCAATGCGGTAATGCCTTCTCTGCACCACATCATTATTAAAAGCAGGCGAATCCCAGCTGTGCCTGCTCTCCCTCTGATATGTCTGTTTTCCTAGAGGGGGCAATGGTTCCCTCAGACTGTCCCTGGACGAGGAGCCCGAGCTGCAGTTGATGGTTTCGTTGGAGTTGGTGGTGGAGTTCAGTGAGTCATTGTCCCCATCTGATTGCTCCATGCCAGAAGCAGGCAGCGGCGCGGAGGACGAGGAGGAAAGGGGCGTGAGCGGAGGCTGAGTGGGTGAGGGGGAAGTGGGATCTGGGTAGGGGTGATGCATGTGTGGCAGAGGGTGGTGGTGCAGTGGATGGTGAAGGTGCGGATGGTGATGGTGGTGCATCATAGCATGGTGTGGTAAGTGTGTAGGCAGAGGCGATGGGATTGGGCGTCCTGTGGGTCGTGTCTGGCCCTGTGCCGCACAAGGATTGGGCATGCGAGGTGCAGGGTTGTGTTTGAGGGTCCCTTGAGGTGACCCGCCTGCAGTTGGCTCCTGTTCGTAAAGCAGCTGTCTGCTAAGGGACCCTCGATCTGATCGGTCGCTCATGTCCACAGAGCTGTCACTGGGCGGCTCTATAGTCAGAACAGGGAGATGTGAGCCACGCAATCGGAAATCTCTGCATTCAGTGCACGGCGTGCTCCGTCGGCTGTTAGTGCTCCCTCCTCCTTCCGTGTCCCGGCTGTCTTCACGGCCTCCAACTCCACTGCTGACGCCCCAGTACTCTGTGTCGGTGCTGGAGGGAACCCGCTCGATGGAGAGTGGAGAGCACGGCATGCCGTCATCCATATAAAGCGTGACATCACTGTATGAGGTGGCTGTGCTGTCCTCATGCATGACGCCCAGGCGCTCCTGTTCCCCTACCACACCCCTGCGAGAGGTAGGTTTGTTGCTCCAAACACACTCGCCAAAATCCACGCTCTCCTCCCTGGCACCTTCGCCACCGTCCTGAGAATCTCCTCGGCCCGACTGACATGTCAAAGTGTCGTCCATTGAGTCAGCTAAAGACGTCACCTGAAAGCAGAAGCACATGTATGTTTACACTGCTGCTAGGGGTCAGTAAGATTTATTTCTGAAAACCATCTGTTATGCTCAACTGGGCTGAATTCATCAAAATTGAGTAAAAATATAATACTGCAAAATGTTCACAATTTAAAACAACTGTTTCTGTATAATTAACTGTTTTCAGTTCGTATAATGACTGTTTCATTCATATTGGTAATACCTTAAAATAATGGTCCATTAGCTATTGTATTTACTAACAATTTGTAATCCATCTGTGATGGTATTTATTCATCTTGGTTGATGTTAAAGCTAATGTTATTTAAGTTTAATAAGATAAGTTCAGTTTAACTCCTAGTGAATTAACTAATGTTAACAAGCACAACTTTTGATTTTAATAATGCTTAGTAAATACTGAACTAAGATTAATAAATGCTTTACAAGATTATTCATACTTATTGTTAGCAGTTACATTAATCAATAGACCATTATTTTAAAGTGTTACCAATATATTTTCAAGTGTCATTTCTTCAAGTGAAGACAAAATGTTCAGCATGACCTATCATTCAGAAATATTTCTCATATGCTGATTTGCAGCTGGACATGGGCAGGTATAAAACGGTATGATAACCTTGGATAAAAATATCACGGTTTCATGGTATTGTGATTACTGCTCTAATCTACTTGTGATCTACTGCTTTTCTTAAATGTCTGGGTAAAAAACAAGAACTTTTCTTTCACTTTGAACACAATGGCTGCGTTTCAAATAACATACTTACACGCTATATATAATGTTAAAAACAGTATGTGAGTCGAGTAGTATGTCTAAATTATTAGAATTCGAAAAACAGTATGCAAAAAATACCTGGATGACCTACTACTTCCGGCGAGATTCTTAATCTGCAGTACCCCATGATGCACCGGAAGTGATTTCATGAATGGGAGTAAAGCGGGTATGTCACGTGATGATGAGGAAATGGCATCCATAGTACATCTAACCTCATTCATACTATGCACATTCATGCTGTATAGAACATACTTTTCTATTAGTCGAGTAGTAAATTCAAATTTAAATGCTGTTCCTACTGAGTAGTAGGTGATTTCGGACGCAGACAATTTAATTTAATTTTGAGAAACATTCCTAATATTTTGGAGCAGTAAACATGTCTGGCTAAATAATTCAAATAAATCAATGACTTCTGCTGTCTTCATTAGTTTTAAAATCACAGATTTCTTCACAATTTAAAACGTCATCTTTGGAGATCTTTTCTGCTGGAGATACTGTTGTCCTAAAAAACAAAAAAAAAAATTGTGGGTTTTAAAACCTTGACTTTCCCAAACAGCGGTTGAAAAGTCAGTTATAGGCAGTTTTTATTACATGCATATTTGCAGCTAAAGAAAAAATTCTTAGGCTCTATTTTAGCATTAAGGCTGTGTCCGATTCCACTTTTGCTATTTTAAGGATGGAAAAATATGCTTTGTGCTGCGGTGCATGGTCTAACAGGGTTGTGCTCATTCTCTTAATGAGTTATGGTTGTGTTTTGAGCATAACGTGCATTAAATCAATCAGAGCCTCGACTCCCATTCCCTTTAAGAGTAAGTTGCGCCATGTCATGGTGCCTTTGCTATTTACATGGCGGACTTTGAAAATGGAAAAGCTGAATGGAAAAATTTTACTTCTTTACTTATTTCCACTGAAAACATCCATTAGTCTACATATTTAATTTAGTTTGTTAAGAGCAAAGATTTGTTTCAAAACTATTTTTAAATTTAGTTTAAACTTCCAGCAAATGAATAAATGAACAATAATAAGTGTGGTAAAAAAAAAAAATTCCAAACACGTCCTATTCTTATGCCCCATATGGTGACACGCTCTGTGTTTGACTTCAGACCAGCTTTTACTTGGTCAATAGCATGGTCTATTTCAGTTTCTCAAAATAGCAACGCACCTACATTGTGCCTTCACACACCTCCTTTATAGACCGGAACACCCATGAGTCCACAAAGTGGTGCAAATGGATTTGCTATTTAAACAACAAGGTGCAAAACGGGAAAATTAGGGTTGTGCTCATCTGAAAATAGCAAAAAATCATGCAAAACACGTCTTGCACCTTATTGTGCCAGGTGTATGATAGGACCTCTAATTTTAGCTCCAAATAATTTAGTGAAATTTTAGTGGACAGTGATGTATATTTCAGAAGAGAAAGTTCAATGAACAGCATATAAATAAGAATGGTTTTTAAAGTAACGTCTTCATCGTCACTATTGATCAAATTTAATGCATTCCTGCTGCAAAAATTATTTCTTCAGAAAAAAAATCCTCTCAGTAACCAGATCACTATAATCACATCCTTTCATATTTATGTATACAGTCTTTTATAAAAAGCTCTAAAAAGGGGACTTTTAGCTAATAACCATCAATTCAGTCTACAGAGAGATTGTCAGTTTAATTAGCCACTTTGTTAAAATGATTTAACTGACAAGGTTCCAAATGTTCCCAGAGTGTAAAGTCACACCACTACACTCAGGTAATTAGAAAAAGCATTACGTAAATATGACCAAATTTGTCGAAATTGGTCACACAAGCAACATGAAAAAAACCCCACAGAAACATGAAATCTACTCTACAAATCATGTATGTGTGCTGTAATGACCCTAAACTGGCCAGTTTCTACTGTGTTTCACCTGTTTGTTGAAGGCATCATCTGCATGTGAGTACTCCTCTCTGTCTGAAGGACAGTGTGCGGGTGAGTCCGTCTCCTGCTGTGTGTTTGTACTTCCTGTCTGGCCAGCTGTGCCTGAAGTGTGATGGCTGGTATATCGACCTTGCTGCTGCTGGGGCGTCTGGGGCTGAACCTGAGCACAAGAAAATATCAACAAAAATCACGTTAAACCGAATAAACATCAGACAGTCAAGCTGAATTTTCCGCTTTTACCCAATCTACTGTTATATTTGCCTGTGGCTGTCGCTCATCAAAGGAGTACTGTGAACGCATGTTTGACAGGATGATCCGGCGAGTCATTCGGCTTTCAGAGGCAGAACTGCGCAGCCGCTGAAAGTTCTTGTTCATGCGATACTGTCGAAAGGCCGTCTGTATGGTGCGAGCCGCTCGTCTGCTCAGGAAGTATCCACCATACTTCCTCTCCAGCATCTCCACCTGATGAAGAGAAAGATGAAAGACAAAAGAGAGAGCATGTGTACATTAGCACTGTTTATTGTTTGCTTTTAGCATTTGATAAAGTATTTTGATCCAAAAAAAGTGAACACCAATGACAAGATCTGATTTAAATGAAAGAAGGCAGATATCAGCAGTGTTTCCGTAGGTGTTGGATTTGAACAAATTATTTATATCGCAGATCTCTCCTCCACGAGAGACATGGTGGCTCAGTGGTTAGCACTGTCACCTCACAGCAAGAAGGTCTCTGGTTTGAGCCCTGGGTGGACCAGTTGGTATTTCTGTGTGAAGTTTGCATGTTCTCCCTGTGTTGGCATGGGTTTTGGTCCAGTTACACACAGTCCAAAGACATGTGCTATAGGTGAATTGAATAAATTAAATTGGCCGTAGTGTACATGGGTTGCAGATGGAAGGGCATTGTCTGTGTAAAACATACAATGTGGCGACCCCTGATAAATAAAGGGACTAAGTCAAAGGAAAATGAATGAATGAATCTCTCCTTCACTCCTAGATAATTCCACGATACAGATATCCTTAGTAATAATGCAAAAACATAAGCGCACGCTCCAGACCATTACTGCATTATCTCATCTCTCATAATGTGTGATGGTGGCGGTTTGGCTTCACATTAGTATTACAGGAGGACATTATGCACATTTGAGGCGTGACTGCAGTTTCTAGCCTGTAAGATGGCCTCCACGCACATTAAAACACAAATACACTGTGATAACTTGATGTTCCTATGGGCTGTTTGTGCCACTGAGAGATCTGACAAACACTAATTAAACACAAAACACTTCAGCAAAGTAAACAGCATTTGACAACTGAGAGTTTCCTTTAATTAATGGCTTTAAAATATAGCATGTTTTTAGAGAATTTCTTTAAATGATGTGTAAACTTCTTGATACAATACAGTGTGTGACACTGATATACTGTACATTCGCTTTCTTGGAATACTTGTGGTTCCCAAAATCTCTTAAAATCATTTGATCAGTTTAACAGACTCAACTGCTTGAAATTTAATAAAAAATTTTCAACAAGCTCCTCTTTCATTAATGTCAGGCTTTGACCATCATTGTGATATCAAGCCAATTGTACTATTCTGAGATTCTTAACATGTATAGTACGTCCAATTTACAATACACTTTAAAATTTGTGTCTAAACTTTTAAGTCCAAATTATAGGTGAACAAGGTGCATGATGCCAATTTCATTATCTAAAACATCTTTTTAGGCACCTTTTATTTTGTTCACAACGAGCACACTGGCTTTAGCTGTTTTACAGAAGATGGCAACAAATACTAAATGTGAACGCTTCTAAAAAAGAGCTTGTATAAGAGGTTTAAAAGATGCATGCAACTACTTTAAAAGAGTACAAAGACATTGCTATTGCTAAAACAAGGATGAATCTTTCAAGTGTGCTTGTGTTGAGCACTGATGTCCACATAAACCATCCAATCAAGATATCTTTAAAAGGCTCTTTGTTTGACTATGAGATAAAATTATACATTTCTGGGATTAACTATTAACCATGGTCCATGTTTAAAAGGTGGCACAGTAAAAATACACAGCTATAGGCCCTAATGATAACTGGTGTTACTAGCATGTGTGTGACACTCATCCGCACCTTCTTGTCCTGCAGGTCCGTGGAGAGCTCATAGCTGTCAGAGAGCGCTTTGCAGCGCTTGCTCTCCTCCTCCTCCTGCTTGCGGAGTGCCAGGCTGGCGGGCTGGTGGCGGCTCCGTTGTGCCCAGGCCAGGCTCGCTGGGCTTGCAGTGCCCACAGGAGGCCCCTGAGGGCCGGGAATGTTTCGAATGTTCCCGTAGCGTTCCGAGTTGCCCAGGTATGGGCCCTGACTGCAAGTGCTGTCAGAAAAGCTAGTTGTGTCCGGACACTGAGGATCTCCCTCCACACTGAAAACAACAAAAACACACAAAGCTCGAGGTCAACAACTGCCAGAAACGGTCTCATCGGTTGACAAGTTGAGAGTAAAACAAGTCTGTAATCTTGGCACTGCAACTGATCAGTGTAGACAAACATATTAGCACACTAACCAACATTAGCATTTCAAATGCCCATATGCAGCCCAGCCAGAACCTCGCCATCTGGCCAAAATGCAGGAGGACGATAGAGGAACAAGAGAAGATGGAGGGAGTGTGAAAGAGGAACAGAGAGTGGACATGAAGCTTACAGAGAAAGAAAGAAAGAGAGAGAGAGGGAGAGAGAGAAACAGTGGCATGTGTTGCAAACCGTCAGCGAGAAAAGCCAGGCATCAAAAATGATAAGACCTGAGTCATCTGATGATGACTCAGAGAGAAAGTGAGAAGCATGAAAGCAGGAAAAGGAGTATAAAGGTAAGTCTGCCTTCAGTATCATATCGCTCTTTCCCTGAAGCAGGTGTACAGTATTGTTGACTCACGTCCTGTTGTCACTATAACTAAAGGAAACCATTGCTTTTTTAAAGAAAGCTGCTAAGTAATCACATTACATGGCATTCCATATATTTGGCTTTGTATTCTGTATTCTTTAGGCATAACGCTTTACTTCTTTACCCTATTTTCATAAAGAAAGATTAAACCGGTTTGACCAGTGTTTAACAGATACTCACTTTGCAGTTAAGCTCAATAGCAGTTCAATAATATAAATATTTGCAGAAATCACAATTATTATGATAGAAACAAATTTAATATTGTTTTTTAGTAGTATTGATTATTTTATTATGATATGAAATAATAGACATAAGCAACCATTTCTATTTAATAATTATTAAATATAATTATTTATATAAATATTATTAATTAATAGTTATATAAGCAGGTTTAACAATAATGCATATGGCTTATATTGCTTTCCTCTAATGTAGTTTATTGTTTTAGTTTTTATTTTGCAACCCAAATGTACAACTTAGTTACACAAAATTCATTATTTATGATAAATATTGCTTTTATTCATTAATTCATTTTCTTTTCGGCTTAGTCCCTTTATTAATCTAGGGTCGCCACAGCGGAATGAACTGCTAACTTATCTAGCATAAGTTTTACACACCGGATGCCCTTCCAGCTGCAACCCATCACTGGAAAACACCAATACACTCTCATTCACGGACATACATTACTCCAATTTCATGCATTCGTTCAATTTCTTTTCGGCTTAGACCCTTTATTACACAGGGAGAACATGCAAACCACACACAGAAATGACAACTGACCCAGCCGGGGCTTGAACCAGCAGCCTTCTTGCCGTAAGGCGATCGTGCTACCCACGGCTAATTTTGCCAACAATAATTATTTTATTTATTTACTATTATTATCATTAAACATAACAATAATGCATGTTTTTAGTTATTGATTAATGTGGTTTATTGTAGATTTTTTTTCAGTCAAAAAAGCACAAGCAAAAAAAATAATTATATAAGGCTATTTTTACTATTCACTTTTATAGTTTAATTTTTAGTTGGTCACAGTTTGCATTTTGCCCTCACACCATTAAATTGCATTCCTGAATATAACAGCATGCATAATTACATAAAATAACCATAAACCAGCTCTTAACCCTATAGTACAAGTTGATAAACAATTTTAGTAATCATATAAAAGTACAACCATAAGGACAAAGTAAAAAAAAAAACTGCAACTTTTATTTTCAGCGATTTACTCACATATAGGCGTGTGCTCTGTTTGGCAGATTAGTCTTTCGATGAAAGCGCATGGCTAAAAAACTCAACACAAACTCACACATGCCTGCAGTGCTGTGATAGTAAGTGTGTGTGCTAGCATTAGAGCTGCTCTGGGATCAGCTGAATCATGCTGGTGGGTTTCCCGATGACTGCATCGACGATCTGTCAATTACTGAAGCACCCAGTGTACAGCAGTACAGTAACAAAACACAAACACACAACCTCTTTGTTTCTGCACATAGCAAATCTCTTCACACAAGGGGATTGGTAACTACCAACACGGCAACAGCTGAGTTTTGCCAGCAACAGCAGAGCTTGAAAACAATCAGCTAAAAGGCAATCAAGTGAAATAACACACCACTGCGCACTGTAACATTCAGTGTATCGTTTATATCCAGCATAAAGCTTTGCAATATACTGTACTATTTGCAGGAAAAGACAACACAGAACTACAGCTCTCTCTCAATCACACACATTGCATTTATGTCCTTCAAACTTTCTCTCCTGCCCATCAGGATGTGTATTTGTGTGTGTGTGTTTGTGTGGTTTGTGTGTGTGTTCGGGAATAGTGCCGAGCAGTCCAGTTGTGCAATCCTGCCGTGATCAGCATGAGTGACTTTACTGTAGATATGTACATATATTTATGTGAGTGTGTGTGTGTGTTTTTTTATGATGCATGCATATGCAGCTGGAGGATCCCGGTCACTGTACACATGGGTGTGTGCAAACCGTGCTGTCATTACTTCCTGCGGCAAGTCAAACTAAGGTACATGCGTAAACACATCAAGTCACTCCTGAGTCAGCTCACTATCATATAGACCAGGGGTGTTAAACTCATTTTTGCTTGAGGGTCGGATTAGAGAAAATGTCCCCTTGTGTGGGCTGAATTACCTTTTGTTAGAGCTTCGTACCAAAACCCTGTGACAGCATAACCCGTATTAGAGCTATATATATATATATATATATATATATATATTAGGGATGTGCGGAGCAGCCGGTATTTGTATTTGTATTTGTATTTGTTGAGGGGGGAAAAGTATTTGTATTTGTATTTGTATTCGAGTAAAATTCAAAATGGCGCAAAAATATATATTTTTTCTATTACACTTCTAATTTACGTTATAGTGAAAGTATTGTTTAATTATACCCATTATATAAATTATAGATATGCAATATTGGTTGTTGTTTTTGAACATGTGATAAGAAATGTCATTGAAAAGAAAATAACATAGAAGCCATTATCTCATCCATGGTTAAACCAACAACTAATAAAATACCATTGTGAATATTATGAACCCCACCACCACCGTTCTTGTTGAAGGACACTGAATAGACAGAATAAAAACAAATAATACTTCAAAAAACTGTTCTTCTTCTGAAAGAACTTTTTTCCAATGGACAGAATTCAAAAAACTAATATTAACTAAATAAATCTAAATAAAACCCTGCCCGGGAGATCTGGCAGAACAAAAGTATTTTATATAATACTAAAAGATACAGCCCTGCTATTATCATCTGCCAGCCACAAAAAAAGACACAAAGTTTGTTTGTTTGTTTTTTTTATGTTTGAAACTGACTTGCTGGGGCAGAATGTGGCTGTGTTGATGCTTTTAGTGCATGTGATAATACATTACATAGAAGGTTGCGCGGTGCTCTGTTCAGTGAGAAGCGCTCTCTATGGCAAGCCTTTTTAGCATTTAAATCTTTGTTCTGACTCCATAAATATATTAGAGATATCTCTAATTATATTTTGACTAGTCATAATTATAATTCCACTACTCAGAATGACAATTAGACATGTCTGCAATTACAATTGTACTAGTACGAAATCAGATGAATTTTGACTAGTAACAATTGTAATTGATATCTCTGAGTTTTTACAAGTCATAATACATTTAGAGATATCTTTAATTCATCATATTTAGAGATATTTACAAATATATTTGAAGATATCTCTAATTAATTTACTAAAAGTCTAATTAAAGTTGTAGATATCTTGAATTGGATTTTTGACTAGTCAAAATTCATTTGGAGATATCTCTAATTACAATTGTGACTAATCAACTTATTTAGAGATATCTGCAAATATTTTTCAATGGAAGTCAATGGAGGAATATGACTAGTCTATCATAATATATTTGCAGATATTTCCAATCTGACTAGTCGAATTATAATTATGACAAGTCAAAATATAATTAGAGATATCTCTAAATATATTTATGGATAGTCTGAACAAGGTTTAAATGCTAAAACGGCTTGCCATACGCTTTCACCCAGTAGCACAGTGGAGAGTTCTCTAGTTATATCCTTTCAGTCGTTTGTTATGCAGTGACATGCAGTCAAATATTTCGCCAAACAGTCCTTAGGGATGCGGTGACACGCAGTCAGATATTTTACCGGACAGATCCGCCACTTTTGGCGCGCATAAACAATCATAAAGCTCTCGTGCTGCAGGAGTGAGGAGATCTGCTGAAGGCGTGCAGCTGACGTGCAGTGAGAGGTTTGCGTCTTTAATAAACTACGGCAGTTTGCGATCACTGAACAGTAAGAATGATTAATAAATCCATATGAAACAGTCCCTTAAAAGTCACGTCTCGCTTTCAGTTTCGGGCTTTGGCGCGTTTTGCCTCTCTCTCTCTCTCTCTCTCTCTCTCTCTCTCTCTTTCTCTCTCTCACTCTCTCTCACTTACTCACGCGGGCATGCACTGTGGTCTCATGAGGAAACGCTGCTTTTTGATATAGTTTTTCTTGCTCCCGAATACAAATAATTTTTCAAGTATTTGTTTGAATCAAGTATTCGTAAACACACGCTATTCGTGCCTTTCCGAATACCGTATTCGGGTTCGGCTCCACCCTTAATATATATATATATATATATATATATATATATATATATATCGCTTCAGCATCAATATCGCAATGTGATTATTCGCAAAAGATACATCGCAAGTTTGAATTATAATTCATTTGCAAGTGTTTTTGATGCCTGGAATTGTATAATGATTTTAAAAGCATTCAGGCAAAATCAATTTTACCACTTGTGACTTAAAGGGTCACGAAACACCAAAACACATTTTTTGAGCTGTTGACAGTCATATATGTTTCCCACACTGCTAAAAACACTATTAGGACACCTATAGTTCACTAAAAAGTGTAAATTGGTTGTTTTTGCGTTATTTCAAGCAAATTTGTACTTCCTGTTTGAAACGAATTTTTGAAGCTGCGTCACGGCCATGA